CCTACAAGCCTCCACAGAGACTGGGCAGGAGAGAACCGGAGACCTTGACCTGTCCCTAATGCAAGTCGGGGACAGGGGGCCCAACTCCCAGGGCCCTCTGGGCTTACCGGCCCCCAGTGGGGCCGACCAAGCTGCGACCCACAGCTCGTGTTGCCAAGACAACTACTACCTCGGCCCTGCCTACGAAGGGCCCAGAGGAGGGTGCTTGACCCCCTCCCTAAGTCTGGTAGGGGGCAGGGCTTCCCTTCAGACCTGGGACGGGGGTCGGGTAGCCCCCCGATCCACAGGGGACTGGGCGTTACTGTCCTGGGAAACCAGAGATCGGCTCTGGTCACCATACCTCTTTCCAAACTAAGGGCCCCACGGCTGGGAACTACACTCGCGGGTACAGATCCAGATCCTCTGCTGCCCCCAGCCAAGGCCCCGGGTCCAGCAGCACCACCTTACGGACAGGCGGAGGAACACCTTCTTTATTCCCTGCGCGACTCCCGACTCTTACGCTGTCCCTTTAAGCGGCTGGTCGCGCGGCGGAGCGGGGAGGACTGTACCACCGACAGTGAGCTGGTGGGGGAGGAAACTTTGGGCTGACTGGCACTAGCACCTAAGATTCCAGAAGAAAGCCCTGTTCGGAGGGGCCTCACGGCCCCAGATGGATGGCCACGTTCCTCGGGGAAGAATCTGGGGGACTTGGAGCCTGAAACGTGGCACTGGCTGCGCGAAAGTCGGGAACACATTCCCGCCCCGGCCACAAGTCCTGCCCCAGGCCCACCTCCGCGCTGGATTCTTAAAGGGCCCGCGGGCCGGGGTGGGGAGGGGGCGGGGCGGAGCAGCAGAGGCGCGGAGCCTGGGCTGCGCCTGGGCTAGCGGCCGGAGCGGGCCGGGCTGGGCCGGGGATGGCAGTGGCCATGGCGTGGGTCCCGGCAGCGCCCCGCGCGAGGTGAGGGCGGGCAGTGCAAGCCTAGCGGCTTTCTTCCTTCAGGTTGGGTTCAGAAGTCCAGGGGATGCGCTCAGCGGGGCGGCCAAGGAACCCAACCCCCACCCGGCCGGGCACTGGCCCCACGTGCGGGGCGGGGGCGGGGTCCAGCACAAAGGCCAGGGGGAGTGAGCTCCTCCCGGGACCCGTCTGGCGGTGTGGGGCGCATTCCCGGTGGCTGCGGAGCGAAGGGCCGGTCCGACGGCGCCGCCGAGGGAGGTCCGCCACCCCTTTGTCCCGGTGGGGCCTCCACCAAGCTTGGGAGAGTGCGTTCGAGACAAAGTCCTGACGTTCTCGCTCTTCTTCCTGGCGGGTGTTACACACATGATAGCTTCGCGGCTGTGTTCCAGCTTCCTTGTGGCTGTATGAGCTGTGCCCTTCCTTATACAAATGCTATCGTTTCCCTGGACCAGGAGTTCTTCATGGAGTACAGAGTGGGCCGCGGGTTCGAGGCTCTCTGAAACCATGTTTTGGGTGGTATGCAGGCATCTGTATCTGTGGACAGCTAGTCCGTAGTGCAGCCGGCCAATTCTTAGAGTCACACACCTACCAGAGGTCTCTGTCCAGCCGTAAGCCACCTGCTCCAGGAAGGAATCCTATGCTCCTGGCAGGGAGTTCCAGGGTGTCTTCCCTTCCCTCCTGTGGTCTTTCAGACCTGTTACAGTCACGTAACAGGGTCTCAACAGCCTTGGGCACGGTGCCCCCCACAGCGTGGGCTTGGGGAGTGTGAATGGGTTTGGGGTGGGCACCTCGCTGATTCTCTAGACTGACTTGCTCTTTCCCATCTCTCCCCTAGTTCCTGAGCTGGTGCCAGGCAGGTGACACCGTTTTCCTGTAGCCCCCAGCATGTGGGCAGGCTTGGGCCCTGCCATCACACTGGCTGTGGTGTGGGCGGCGGCATGGGCCACCCAGCTCAAGCCCACAGCGCCACCCATCTTTACAGGCCGACCCTTTGTGGTAGCATGGGACGTGCCCACACAAGATTGTGGCCCTCGCCTCAAGGTGCCACTGGACCTAAAGGCCTTTGATGTACAGGCCTCACCTAATGAGGGTTTTGTGAACCAGAACATCACCATTTTCTACCATGACCGGCTGGGCCTGTATCCCCGCTTCAGTTCAGTGGGGAGGTCAGTGCACGGTGGCGTGCCACAGAATGGCAGCCTCTGGGCACATCTGAAGATGCTGCAGGAACATGTGGAGCACTACATTCGTACACAGGAGCCTGCAGGGCTGGCAGTTATCGACTGGGAGGACTGGCGGCCTGTGTGGGTGCGCAACTGGCAGGACAAGGACATATACCGTCAATCATCACGCCAGTTGGTGGCTGTTCGCCACCCTGACTGGCCATCAGATCGTGTAGTCAAGCAGGCGCAATACGAGTTTGAATTCGCTGCACGGCAGTTCATGCTGGAGACACTGCGCTTTGTCAAGGCAGTTCGGCCTCGGCACCTCTGGGGCTTCTACCTCTTCCCAGACTGTTATAACCATGATTATGTGCAGAACTGGGAGACCTATACAGGTCGCTGCCCTGACGTTGAGGTCTCCCGAAATGACCAGCTGGCCTGGCTGTGGGCAGAGAGCACAGCCCTCTTCCCCTCTGTCTACCTGGACGAGACACTTGCGTCCTCCACCCACGGCCGCAACTTTGTCAGCTTCCGTGTTCAGGAGGCCCTTCGTGTGGCTCACACCCACCACCCCAACCACGCACTCCCGGTCTACGTCTTCACGCGACCCACCTATAGTCGCAAGCTCACGGGACTTAGTGAGGTATGTGCCTCCCAGGACCCTGCCTTCTTCCCCAGGGAACCACTGCAGGTTTGGGTTACCAGGGGGCCTCCTGCCCCGCGGTTTTCTATCTACATTCCCTTGTGTCATTCTCTCTGTAACCTTGTGAAAGGGTGGCATCATTATCTCCATTTTGCAAATAAGAAGATTGAGGTCCAGAAATGCTGAGAAACTCACCCAAAGCTTCCCAGCACATCCAGGGCAAAGCAGGGTCTTGGAACTAGGCATTCTGACTTTGGGGTTTATCCTGATAGATACATCTTCAGCTCAAGTGGGTTGTTAGCTTGGGAAACGGAGGCCAAAGTAGGCGTGCAAGTGACTTGAACATCTAATGAGAAAGTGAAACAGCCTCTGCTTGGGGGTGGGAAGGGGTACTGGGCTGAGGGGATCAGCAAGTCAGAACAGGGTGAGGGCCTGTCCAGCCTGCCTGGTCCTCACCCTGTGGTCTCAGTCTTCCCCAGTGACCATCCCCCTCTCACACAGATGGATCTCATCTCCACCATTGGTGAGAGTGCAGCCCTGGGTGCGGCCGGTGTCATCCTCTGGGGCGATGCAGGCTACACCACCAGCACGGTAAGTAAGCGCCCCCACCCAGCCTACCAGAGTGGAGTCTGCAGGGGCCAGGCAAAAGTTGGGGCTTTGAGCTGCTGACCCTCAAGGTGGGCAAACCTAGTCTCCCACCCAAGGCATTCCTGGTCCCAGTAGAGAAAACAGGGTTCCTTCCCTACGTGCCCTTCTGGGTTCATCTCTGTCCCCACTTCCCTTCTCAGCAGGAACAGTAAGGGTTCAAGCACGCATGTACAGATACACATGTGTGTGCTGTTAAAGGAAGGTTAATAGAGTTTCCATCTGGGCCTGTGGGCTGAGGCAGCTGACCCTGATCCCTGGCCTCTGCCCCTAGGAGACCTGCCAGTACCTCAAGGATTACCTGACGCGGCTGCTGGTCCCCTACGTAGTCAACGTGTCCTGGGCTGCCCAGTATTGCAGCCGGGCCCAGTGCCATGGCCACGGGCGCTGTGTGCGTCGCGACCCCAGCGCCAATACCTTCCTGCACCTCAGTGCCAGCAGCTTCCGCTTGGTGCCTAGCCATGTACCTGGTGAGCCACAGCTGCGACCAGAGGGGGAGCTCAGCTGGGCTGATCTCAACCACCTGCAGACGCACTTTCGCTGCCAGTGCTACTTAGGTTGGGGCGGTGAGCAATGCCAGTGGGACCACACACGGGCAGCTGGGGCTGCCAGTGGGGCCTGGGCTGGGTCCCACCTCACTGGCCCACTGGCTGTGGCAGCCCTGGCCCTCACCTGGACTTTATAGAGGTCTCTCACCCGGCTGCCAAACAAGCTGGCCTCTGCCACAATGGCTCTGCCAGGCACATAGGAGCCTGCAAGGGGTGGACAAACTGGAGTCTGGAGGGGGCAGAGCCCCTGGGATGCCCAGTAGAGCATCCATACCAGCTCTCACCCCCCTGTTCTAAGGGGGAGGGGCAGTTCCCCGAAAGGTCCCTTCTCTCCCTGCCAGAGAGGAAGAGGGGCACAGCCGGGCCAGAGAGGACCTGACCCTACTCTCCTGCCCCTGGATGGTTTATTATTATTATTTTGGGGTCTCTTTTGTAAATTAAATATAAAACAATTTCTTCTGTGCTTGGACTGTCTGCAACTAGGCCAGGACATGTGAAAGAGAATCCAGGGTCTCTCAGACTCTCTGCTGGGGACTTCTTATCTGTCAAATGCCATCTGTGGGACCTGGAGGCCCAGAGCTGTCCATTCCGCTGTTGCCTGATGGGGCAGGGGCCAGTGGGACTAGAGGGACTCACATTCCACCCCAACACCAAGGACCTTGCTTTCTCCATATTGATTGGAAAGTGGTTGGGCCTAACCTTCTGTGAGGGACCGGGCTCATTGTGTTTCTCCTACTTGCCCCTGGATCCCCAGCTGGGCCAGTGCCAGTCACCTCGCCTTGCCCACCCAGGGAGAAAGGGGAAGTGGATGTTTGATCTTCCCAGGCTGGGCAAGTAGCCAGACCACCCCTCCCTGCTGTTCCCACAGGCAAGGGCGTCTCCTCCACTCCCTGCTCCCAAGGGCAGTAGACTCCAGCCACACAGCCCTCTCTCCAGCTGGGTCGCAGTCCTCCACTGGGGTTTGGGATCTGAACGCCAAGGTCTCATCCCTGTCCCACTGCAAAGATGCATGATGGGGCGAGAGGGAGGTGTCTTGAGCCTGGGAGCAGAGACAACCTCAAAGATCACTTCTGTCCCGGCCGTGGGAAGTATAGCCTGTCCTCAGCTGTCCCAAGGGAGACAAGTAGCAGCTGGAGCAGTTGGACTGGCTCTGGACTGCTTTACTACCCTGCTTCTGAAGGAAGTTACCTGGTGTGTCTCTGCCCTTCTCCTCAGCCATCAAACCCACATCTGAAGGTCCCCTTGTCCATATCGGCGATGACACAGCCCCTGTCCTCAGCAAACACTGGCTGTGGAGAGAAACAGCCAAGTGGTGAAGAGGGGGCGCGGGCAGCCCAGCCACAAGGGAGATATCCGTGAGGTAGTCCTTCCTACACTGAGTTGAAAAGGGAAGAGGAAGCTTGATGCGAGAGACAAAGCATGGGCAAAATCTGGAGGAAGTCAGAACACAACTGGGACTCACAGTTTGAGGCTAGGGGCTACAGCAGGCAGGGCAGGAGGGGCAGCCCAAGAGCAGCACTAAGCCTGACTTTGCCTGACGGTGGTGACTCCCTTACCCATTCAGTAAATAATGCATACATGTGCCGGTGCTGGGCTGGGATGCATGTGTGAGGCACACCACAAAGAGCCCTGTCTCCATGGGGATGCACACTAGATGCGAAGGCTGAGTCAGAAGTGGTCATGGGAGCAGAGCCTGGAGAAGCAAGCCCCACCAAATTGATGTCAACTCAGGTTGTAAAGTGATCCCTTATCCCTCTGGCTGGTGATGGCAAAGAATGAGGGAAAGGGGTTGGGTGGTAGTTCAGGGAAGGCAATGTCAGTTCACATGGCGGAGGAGGACGCTGGGGCGGAAGGGTGCCCGGATGTTCATGGCTATGGTGGGGAGTGGCCTGCTAGACAGAAGATGAAGGTATTGTCAATAAGGTCGTGAGATAATGGAGCCAATAAAAAGAGGGCAAAGAAGGAGAAGCTGAAACTTGTTTCCCTTACACCTATGACTTCCCATACCCAGCTGGGACCCTCAAACACACCTGTGAGCTATCCCACACGCATCTGTAACACCCACATCTGTGATCTCTCCCACCGAGCTTGGACCCCTACACGTACATGTGCAAAGCTGTGATTTCCTTCACATGTTGACCTTATACAACTGCTACCTTCCCCAAACAGCTGTGGCCTGTACCTACCCAGCTGTGACACCTCCGTGCAAACCTGTGATCACTTCACATCACTTTCCAGGAGGACCTGGAAAGACAGCCTTGTGGAAAGTGCAACTCAGGGACAGCCGGATCTGTGGGTGGGCAGGTGGGGGTAATGGGGAGTGAGGTGGCCTAGGCAGGGTATGAGAGCAGAGAGGGCAGGCAGGGCTGGACCACAAAGCTGGAGTGACCCCAGACACACACAGAACTTGGGCCCATCTGGCCAGACCAACTCAGCAAGGGCAGGTCTATTGGCAGGGCCCTGGGGTCAGGGAGGGCTTTGGGTGTTCCTTCCTGCCATTCCACCATTAGAACTTCTCCCCAAACTGAGGCCAGCTGGAGGATGCTGGCCTGATGGTTGGCTGGATTGTGCCAATTGCAGCCTAGGTTTCTAGGGGCACCAGAAGGTAGTACAAAGCCTTAGGGAGAGGGAGTCAGGGCTGCCTTGATGTTCTCCTGTCCCCTCAGCCCTGGGGAGTTGTGCCAGTCTCCCTGAGCCTGGTGGCCATCACTCTGGGACCCTGCTTCCACCAGGACCAGCAGCCACCATCTCTGTGATTAGATGCTGTGCTTGGGTCCTCGCTGATGTACCCACAGCCCCCTGGCACCATGGGCCCGCTGTCAGCTTCTCCATCCTTGCCTGCAGGACCAGGTCCAGATGATAGCCAGTTGTGTCACTGCTTCATTGACCACCATGCCAGGCAGGGGATCACCACCTCAGGCTCAGACTGGGCTGCAGACTCACTCAGGTAGCACTTTCACCTGGGCCAGGGACATGATGTTCCCTTCACCCCACCCTGACAGGCAAGCCTGGGCCTGGGGACCTAGCAGGTCTCAATAATCAGCTTCTGAATCAGCAAACAAGTGAAATCACAAAGGAATGAACAAACATGTGGTCACTGACACACCCGTGGTCAAACATGGGATCTCATAGTCACAGGACAGCAGAGTCTTCAACACCCAATCCAGTCACCGGGTCCCACACTTGCACATACACCCTCTACTGGAGCTGGCACAGAGGCCTAGATAGTAGCTGACCTGGGCTTCGCAAAGACACACTCACTGACCAGCCCTGACTTCACAGACACAGCGCCTTTCAGACTCAAGTCCCGAAAGCAGAAGTGACTTCCCCCCCTAGGCATAGTCAGTATAGGGTCTGAGGCCACAATACTTCTAGGGACCCCCAAAATCTTAATTTTTTTAATCAGAAGAAGATATATATTAATAATGAATATATAATGACTTAGGTTGGGATTATATTTGTCTTTATACCAACATAGTTGTAAAATGTATTTTTTGACGTTTTGAGAAAGGGTCCCAAAAAAGCAAAAGTGCTTAAGGCCCACAAATGTCACAGTGCAGCTGTGCAGGAAAGTACGCTCCCTTGGTATAGGTACTGAGGCACCCAGACTCCAGTACCACAGACAGGCCTGCCAGCTGGGTCTGCCAACCAAACAGCAAACCCCTCCCCCGCACTGCCTCCACCCCCACCCCAACACAAAGCCGCAAAGCCCTGCCCTAGTGCTGACCCAGTGGGCGGGGCCGCTTCCGGCCCAGCCCCACCTCCTACCAAGGCACTTTGTTAGGGGTGCTGAGGTGGCTCAGCTGCCTGGCCCAGCCCTCCAACCCCGGGCCTGCCCCTCAGCCCGCCCCCAGACTGGGTGGGGTGACCCCCTACAAAAGCTCAGAGTTTCCAGCAGCAGCAGCTTCCTCCAAGAGTCTGGTGCAGCTGGGGGCAGAGTTGAGGAACAGAATCTTGCTGAGCCCTGCCTAGGCCCTCAGCCTGGGGTCAGGAAGTCTGGAGGATGAGGCCCTTCAGCCCTGAGGTCAGCAGGGACAAGTGGGCAGACTGGCGGGGATACAAGGAGGGTTGGGCTGACCTGTCTTTGGTCACTGAGCATCTCCTCCTCCAATGGCTGGCCAGGATTCCTGCGGGGGGAGAGACAGGAAAGGACCCCCCCACCCCCACCCCCATCACAGTCAGGTCAGCCTCGCGGCTGAGGGCCTGGCTCTTATGAAAACACATATCATGGCTTCTGTGGCTCTTGGGGAAGGGGATTGGTTAGCTTAGGCCAGGGCAAAGTCTGTGGGAGACAGGGCAGAGGCCCCTCCAGTGGCAGTGCGACCCCTCCAAGCCTCTCCTTTGCCCTCTGACCTCCCTGAGCCCTGCAGGTCAGTGTTTACCTAAACCCAGAGCAGGGGTGGATTAATGAGCAAGGGGTTTGGCCAGCCTTCCCTGAGCAGGGGTCAGAGAGTTCAGGGCCTACTCTCAGCTTTGCCTCCCCTGGCTAGGTTTCACTAGAACCACCCTGTGCCATGGCAGTCCACCTGCTTCCCATCTACGCCCTCTTCCTGACCTTGCTGGACAAAACCCAAGGCTCCAGGAGCCCCATGGTACCCAACCAGCCCTTCACCACCATCTGGAATGCAAACACCCAGTGGTGCCTGGAGAAATACGGTGTGGACGTGGACGTCAGTGTCTTTGATGTGGTGGCCAACCCGGGGCAGACCTTCCGCGGCCCTGACATGACCATTTTCTACAGCTACCAGCTGGGCACCTACCCCTACTACACGTCTGCCGGGGAGCCTGTGTTTGGTGGGCTGCCCCAGAATGCCAGCCTGGATACCCACCTGGCCCACTCATTCCACGACATCCTGGCTGCCATCCCTGCGTCTGACTTCTCAGGGCTGGCAGTCATCGATTGGGAGGCATGGCGCCCACGCTGGGCCTTCAACTGGGACGCCAAAGACATTTATCGGCAGCGCTCACGGTCACTGGTGCAGGCGCAGCATCCTGACTGGCCAGCGCCTTGGGTGGAGGCCGCAGCTCGGGACCAGTTCCAGGAGGCTGCACAGGCCTGGATGGCAGGCACCCTCAAGCTGGGGCAAGCACTGAGGCCTCGTGGCCTCTGGGGCTTCTATGGCTTCCCTGACTGCTATAACTATGACTTTCTAAGCCCCAACTATACAGGCCAGTGCCCCCCGGGTATCTGTGCCCAGAATGACCAGCTGGGGTGGCTGTGGGGTCAGAGCCGTGCCCTCTACCCCAGCATCTACATGCCTACAGAGCTAGAGGGCACAGGGAAGGGACAGGTGTATGTGCGGCACCGTGTAGGTGAGGCATTCCGTGTGGCTGTGGGTGCTGGGGACCCTGATCTGCCAGTGCTGCCCTATGCCCAGATCTTCTACGACGGGACGAACCGCTCTCTGCCCTTGGTGAGTCTCCCTCTATAACCCCACCCACCGTATAGCCTACTTTGTCAGGCATCAGGTCCAGTAAGTGAGGCTGCATGGCCTTGGGGCACTTTCATCCATTCTCCATTCTTTGAGCTCTGTGTGCCATGATCTGTGCTCAGCACAGATGATTCTGCATTCATCAGAAAGACGTAGTGCCTGGTGCATGGCACGCACAGGCCAGAGTGAGGATGGGCTTGCCTCTCACCACCAGGGCCAGAAAAGCCCAGGTGGGGGTTATGAATTATTTGTCCCATCCAGTGTTGTTACAGCAATCTGCTGTGGGGAGGGAGGAAGGCCCTTCAGAGCTATGTCCCTTTCCTCAGGATGAGCTGGAGCACAGCCTGGGGGAAAGTGCAGCCCAGGGGGCAGCAGGAGTGGTACTCTGGGTGAGCTGGGAGAACACAAGAACTAAGGTGAGCTCAGGCCCAGGACGGGGGGGGGGGGGGGGGGGGGGGGGGGGGGGCGGGGGGGGAGCTGCCAGGCTGACTGGCAAGACCCTGGCCCACCCTTTCTATCCCTTCAGTCCTGACTGGCCAGCAGGTGAGTGCCTCAGTGCCCTAGGTAGGCCCATGCATGGCCATGGTGTCCCTGTTGCTCCCCTTCCTACTCAGGAATCATGCCAGGCCATCAAGGAGTATGTGGACACCACACTGGGGCCCTTTGTCCTCAACGTGACCAGCGGGGCTCTCCTGTGCAGTCAAGCCCTATGCTCAGGCCATGGTCGCTGTGCCAGGCGCCCCAGCCACCCTGAGGCCCTCCTCATCCTCAACCCCACCAGTTTCTCCATCCAGCCCACACCTGGTGGCGGGCCCCTGACCCTACAAGGTGCCCTCTCACTTGAGGATCGGATGCAGATGGCTGTGGAGTTCAAATGTCGCTGCTACCGTGGCTGGAAGGGAGCATGGTGTGAGAAGCAAGGCACGTGGTAATTGGCCACGAACTAGGATACACGCATTGAACATTTTGTTGACATTAAAAATAAAAGTTATTTTACCAGCAAAAATGGGTTTAATCAGGAACAGTAGAAAATTGCAACTTGAGACATGTGAGCTGTTGCAAAACCAAAGAAGAGGAGCAATCTTTTACATAGGAAAGGGGGGAGTTTGAAGGGCCCATTATAAACAGAAAGTCCATTGGAGTAAACCTGGGGTTCAAAGTGTGGTGACTTTTCATTGACTGAGTTATGGCAGTCTCTCATTGGCTGGGCTGTTGTCACACAATGAGAAAATCTTTCCTCCTGCTGGAATAGTAAAGTAGGCTTCTCCCTGTTGGGTCTGCAAAGAGCTGCAAGGAGTGGCATGGGTGAGTTCCCCCTTCCAGCCTCCCAACTCCATTTTATTTTATTTATTTATTTTTTTCCAACTCCATGTTAAATGAGGTTTCCTTTATTCAGTTTCACAACCTAATGCACTCTGAGCCTGGCCACAGCGTTCTCTTTTTTTTTTTTTTTTTTAATTTTTTTAACGTTTCATTTATTTTTGAGACAGAGAGAGACAGAGCATGAAAAGGGGAGGGTCAGCGAGAGGGAGACACAATCTGAAACAGGCTCCAGGCTCTGAGCTGTCAGCACAGAGCCACACGCGGGGCTTGAACTCACAGACCCCGAGATCATGACATGAGCCAAAGTCAGCCCCTTAACCGACTGAGCCACCCAGGCGCCCCTGGCCAGAGCTTTCTCCAGTATAAGCAGTCACACACAAGTCATGGTGACAGTCAGGAGTACATTCAGCCACGGTCATGAGCATATGCCTGCACATGCTTATAGACCAGGATAGCTGCCTAAGGGGTTAGAGCCTCCAGCACCCATCCAGCTGGGTCATAAACATCTCCAGAGATACTAAGCCAGTCTTTAAACTGTAGCAATCACAAGAACTGACATTCACTGAACGCCTACGCTTCCTCAAGTCCTGTGTTAAGCATTTTAAGTAGACTTACTTGATCCTAACACGACGTTATGAGGAAACTGAGGCACACACTGGAAGGGCAAACATTTTGCCCAAGGCTGCACAGCCAGAAAATAGAGAAACTGGAATTCGAAACCCAGGCTGTCTAACTATAGAGGTAAAGCACTTCGACTCCTACTGTGTTGACAGTAACCAGCCCTGCACGCAACCTGCTCAGAGGCACCAAGCTCGCAAATAAAGCAGACACGATTCTTGATTCAGGAGCTATTAATGGAGTGCCTAAAACGTGCAGGAGCCGGGATCCAGAGGGCCCAGGAAAGGCTCATCTCTCTCACTCAGACCTGACGTCTGTCCGAGGGCGGCTGCTTCCGAGGATGGGGCCCAAATTTCAGGAGGAAGCTCTACCTGATCGTTTCCACAATGGACCCCTTTCCAAACGGGGACCGACAGGAGCCGAGGCCTGCCTGAGCTTGGGGTGGGGCGAGGTGAGGCGAGGCGAGGCGGAAGTAGAGCCGTGTGGAGGAGGGACCTGTACCCAGCCAAGGCTTTGGCGCGACGGGCCCGGTAGAGCGGAATCCGGGAGGATCTAATAGGTGCCCAGGAGCCAGATACTGGGCCTGCAGGCGACGGGGAGGAGGTGGAGCCTGCGCTCGGTCCCAGCTGGGATACGTAGGGAGCGAGGTGCTGTGGCTCGGGCGGGGCTGGAGGGGCAGAGGCGGAGCCATGGCAGAGACCAGGTCTGCGTCGGGGGGTGTTGTGACGCCCTGAACCGGGGGCGGAGCCTAAGCCGTGGCGGGCGGAGGCGGGGTGGGGCCTAGCTACCTAGAGAAAGTCGACCAGGTCCGGTGCTGCAGGAGACGACGGCTGCAGTGCGTCCGCCGCGCCGCTAGGGGCCAGCGCGGGCGGTCAGAAGAGTCCAAACCACAGACAGCGAGAAACCGACCCGCGCGGAGCGAGCACGCGAAGCGTCCCGGAGCTTGGCTTCAGCATGTCAGTACCTCCCCCTTCCCATGCGCCTTATGTTCGTCCTCACTGTCCCCCGTCTGTCCCATGAGTGCGGTCCTCAAGTAGCTATGCCGTCCCGCACGCCCTCCCTGCTTCTGTCGTTCTCTCCCCTAGCATGCCGAGCCACACCCACCCAGAGTCAAGCTGCTGAAGCACACCCTCCCCCCCAAAACTCCACGGTTTGTCATCCACTAGGAGGGAGGGGGAAACCGAGGCACAGAAGACACTGCCGCCTCTCCCTGAGGATACAGGAGCCCCGCCCATAGTGGGTGGGGTTGGCCACGAAGGGGTTAAGACCGCGGGGAAGTCTGGGGCTCCAGACCTAGGGGTGGATTCTGGGGCTTCCTCCCTCTTGGTCCAGAGCTGTAGCTGCTGCGGAGGTGGCCGATGCAGGTGAGGTGCTTATAATCCTCTGAGTGGGGTGTGGGGTTGTGGGGGCTACCTGTGCCTGACCAGTGTGGAATTGGACTCAGGCTCATGGGGCCTTTTGGGGGAGGTGGGGAAGGAGAGCCAGGACGTCCTCTCTGGAGCAAGTGAGTAGAAGAGTGAGGCCCAGTGGATCCCCCACTGCCAGGAATCCCCTCAGCATAGACTCTCCTGGCAGAAGGGCCTGGGGTAGGACTGGCAAACAATGGGGTTTAGGCACAGGAGGTCTGAGCCCCCAACCTGATGGCCGTTGGACACCCTTGTGGATTTAGGAAGGAAGCTGTGGTCCTTATCTAGGGCGACTACGAAACTCAGGCCAGTGGGGAACCAAGCCTGCAAGAGCCACATTGCTTTGTGACAGTGAGCCAGGCCCCTTGCTAGTGCTGTTGGAACCCCATGTGAGGGGACAGTTGGGTCCATGCCCAAGCAGAGTGTCCTGAGCTGCATGGGGATGGGGGGGGGGGGGCGGGCATGGGCTCTGTGCTCCAGGCAGGAAAGGCAGTTCAGTGAGGGGAAAACTGATCCTAACGGGTGGGTGATGGGTACCCCAGGATTGCTCAGGTGACAGGCATGGCCCAAGTGGTCAGAAAGGCTGGGACCTAAAGTGTAAAGAGAAGGAAAGGGCAGGGGAGTTCCTGGGGACAGCCAGAGAGAGTTTTGGGTGGGTTTAAGTAGGGGGTCATGGTGCCTAGTCTGCATGTTCTGTCTGATGGCCAGCCAACCATGATGCTGTAGGCTAGGTCCCCTGTTCTGGGGAGGCCAGAGTTGTAGCCAGAGAAAGTGGGGCCATGACTCTTGGGTTCTGCCCCAGCCTTTAGCCTTCAGCTTTCTTCCAATGTGGGGCAGGACACCCTGGAACCATTACCTCTACTGTCACCTGAGTGAGTCACCTGAGTCAGGTATAAGGGATGGTCTCCAGGTGACCTGTGCCATCAGGTGAGTATGGGACAGAGACAAGGTGTAGCTTACCAGTTCCAGGATGCATGGCTCCCCTAGCACTCTGTCAGCCCCTCCCTGCCCCAACACTGTCCTCCTTCCTGGCAAAGCCTAGCATGGCTGTTGTCTACAGGAGGAGCATCCTTGTGGTCTGAGGAGATAACCATTGTCTGGAGACCATGCTCTTAATCCCCAGCCTGGCACTGAGCCACCTGCAACCCAGCAGGAAATGACCATGGCTCCCAGCCTGACTTAGCTGAGCCTGGATCCTTCATGTAGGGAAGAGCTGACTCTGAGCCCTGGCTCATCAAAGCTGACTCCTACCCTAGACCCTACACACCAGATAGAGTTGATCCTGAGTACCAGCCCAGCCAAGCTGACTCTGGATCCTGCATGCCAGTCAGAGTTGACCCTGAGATCCAACCTGGCCACGCTGACCCTGGATCCTGCACACCAGCCAGAGCTGACCCTGAGCCCCAGGCTAGCTGAGCTGACCCTGGGTTCTGCATGCCATCCAGAGATGACCCTCAGTCCTGGCTCGACTGAGCTGACCCTGGATCCCGCACACCAGCCAGAGGAGACCTCAGCCCCCAACCTGGCTGAACTTACCCTGGAGCCTGTGCACTGCCGACCTGAGCTCCTGGATGCCTGTGCCGACCTCATCAATGAGCAGTGGCCCCGCAGCCGTGCCTCCCGCCTGCATTCCTTGGGCCAGTCCTCAGACGCCTTCCCCCTCTGCCTGATGCTGCTGAGCCCCAGCCCCACACCTGAGGCAGCCCCCATCGTGGTGGGCCATGCCCGCTTGTCACGGGTGCTGGACCGGCCCCAGAGCCTCCTAGTGGAGACAGTGGTGGTGGCCCGGGCTCTGAGGGGCCGTGGCTTTGGCCGCCGCCTCATGGAGGGCCTGGAGGTTTTTGCTCAGGCCCGGGGCTTCCGCCGACTACACCTCACTACCCACGACCAGCTGCAGTTCTATGCCCACCTGGGCTACCAGCTGGGTGAGCCTGTGCAGGGCCTAGTCTTCACCAGCCAACGGCTGCCTGCCACCCTGCTCAGGGCCTTCCCCAGAGCCCCCTTTCCCCGGCAACCCTGCAAGGCTTCTAGTCTGACTGCCCAAACTGCCCCAAGAGCCCCCAAGGGGCCATCATTGCCGCCACCTCCTCCCCTGCCTGAGCCCTTGACCACCTCACCCCCACCTCCTGCAGGGCCCCCTCCACAAAGCCTGCTGGAGACACAATACCAAGACCTGAGAGGATGTCCCATATTCTGGATGGAAAAAGACATCTGAGGGCTACCCAGGACAAGGCACTGTCCTTCAGGGTTGATGGACTGCCTAGGACAGTCTGGGCCTCAGCCCATTGGCCATACCATAGTCCCTAGACCCTGGGAGCAGCTTTAGCCTGGCCATGTTTCCTGAGTACCAGTGGGGCCAGTAGATGGCTTCATGGCTGTGGCTCAGAGCTGTCAGTGTGGCTGAATAAAGGCTTCTGTTGGATGTGGCTGTGACAGTTTATTTGTTGACCTCACTCTCACCTCCCAGCTTCATCTTAGATCCCCTATCTCTGCAAGAGTCCCCAGATCAACCTTGGCCCTAGGGCCATGGATGAAGGGACACCTGCCCTTTGCCCCTCCCACTCTGCCAAGCCCAGGTGACAAGGTATCTGTTCCCTTCTACATTCACTCATCACTATTCACTCAGGGGCTACTGTTTGTCAGGCTCTGGACTGGTCACAGGCAATGGGGAACGAGACAGACAGTACCTCGACCCAAGGGACAGGGGAGACAGGCAGGCATACAGTGTCAGGATCCGTGCTGGGACAGTGGGAGCCCAAGTGCCCTCAGTGCATTTAGAGACCCAGGAGGCCTCCCAGGGGAGGTGATGTCACAGCAGAGACCTGAGAGCTGAGTAGGAATTAAGCCAGGCAAAGGGGAGGATGTTAAGTGTTCTTGGGGCAAGGTCCAAGAAAGAGGTCAGAGGGGACTGGTGAGAAGTGAGTGGGCTAGGTGTCAGAAGGCACAGTGGTGCTGTGACAGAGATGGACAACACGGGAGCTACATGGGCCAACTTAGGGTGTTACTGGTTTGAGAGGCCTAGAGGACCACATGGGGACCATCCTTCCCCAGCCTCCATCCTTGGGAGTAGCTGGGAGAGTGTTCCCAGCTTTTCCTGCTGTATAGAAGGTGTGGCCACGGCCATGAATTCTAAGCTCACACCCCCTCTCTCCTGCAGGTTTCTGTCCCTGGGGCATGATCATGCAGCTGGGCCTCGCCCTGGTACTAGGAATGGCCCTGTGCCTGGGGTGTGGCCAGCCCCTGCTGTGGGCTCCTGAACGTCCCTTCTTTGTGCTATGGAACATACCCTCAGCACACTGTAAGACTCGCTTTGGTGTGCACCTGCCACTAGAGGCTCTGGGCATCACAGCCAACTGTGGCCAGCGTTTCCATGGCCAGAACATCACCATCTTCTGCAAGAACCAGCTTGGCTTCTATCCCTACCTTGGGCCCAGGGGCACAGCTCATAACGGGGGCATCCCCCAGGTTGTCCCTCTTGACCGCCACCTGGCACAGGCTGCCTACCAGATCCATCTCAGCCTAGAACGTGGCTTTGCTGGCCTGGCAGTGCTGGACTGGGAAGAGTGGTGTCCACTCTGGGCCGGGAACTGGGGCCGCCGCCGAGCCTACCAGGAAGCTTCATGGGCTTGGGCACAGCGGGTATTCCCCCACCTGAACCCCTAGGAGCAGCTCCACAAGGCCCGTGCTGGCTTTGAACAGGCAGCCCGTGCCCTGATGGAGGACACACTACGGCTAGGCCAGGCACTGAAGCCCCATGGGTTCTGGGGCTTCTATCGCTTCCCAGCCTGTGGCAATGGCTGGCATGGTACAGCTTTCAATTACACAGGCCACTGCCACCCAGCCACTCTAGCCCGAAACACACGACTGCATTGGCTCTGGGCTGCCTCCAGCTCCCTCTTCCCCACCATTTACCTCCCACCCAAGCTGCCACCTATTCACCACAAGGCATTTGTCCGATACCGCCTGGAAGAAGCCTTCCGTGTGGCCCTTGTTGGGCACCCACATCCCCTGCCTGTCCTGGCCTATGCCCGCCTCACATACCGGCATTCTGGGAGGTTCCTGTCCCAGGTGAGCGAAAATTGAGATCTAGGGGTCTGAGGGGAGTCATGGTCCTGTCCTAGGAAGATCTGAAGAGAAGACCTTGCCCAGGGGAATTTGATGGGGAGACCCTGATCTAGTTCTGAGTGGGGAGGTACTATCCTGGAGCATCTGAAAAGGAAGTATGGCTCTGCCTTGGAAAATCTTGAAGGGGAAGGCAAGGCCAACGTTTGGAGCCCTGGTCTGAGGGAAGACATTTTCTGAGTGGAGGACCCAAGAAGCCACTCAGAGGCTCAGTGCCAAGTAACCTTACTCTAGAAGTGGAATCAGATCATGGTAATGAGCCAGAAAAGTTTCTTGAAGGTAGAGGTAGGCCCAGATGGATCTGACCAGCCCAGCCCTGGCTTAGCAGTTCTTTGCTTCCAGGATGACCTCGTGCAGACCATTGGTGTGACTGCAGCACTAGGGGCAGCCGGCGTGGTGCTCTGGGGGGACCTGAGCTTCTCCAGCTCTGAGGTGATCATTGCCCCTCCAGCCTGCCGTACAGCCCATCCTGGGATCCCAGGGTTCGGGGGAGAGACCATGTCAGAGCCATGAAGCAGGAGCATTGATACATCCTTCCCCTCTCCACAGGAGAAGTGCTGGCATCTCCATGACTACCTACTGGGCACCCTGGGTCCCTATGTAATCAATGTGACCAGGGCAGCCATAACCTGCAGTCACCAGCGGTGCCATGGCCATGGGCGTTGTGCCCGCCAAGATGGAGGACAGCTGGAAGCCTTTCTGCATCTGCAGCCAGATGGCAGCCCTGGAGCTTGGGAGTCCTTTAGCTGCCGTTGTTACCCGGGCTGGGCTGGCCCTACCTGCCAGGAGCCTAGACCTGAGCCTAGGCCTGAAGAAGCAACATAAAACCAGAGGTTACCTGCCCCTGACTCTTTTGTCCCTGCTGCCATTTTTCCAGTCTTGGAGGACAGCTCTGTCCCACTCTTGTTCTATTCAGTTTAGAGCCAGTCCTCCCATACACACCCTCCCTTCCCATGGGATACCTGGGGAGTGGAAGGGGCGAGGAAAAAAATGTTGACAGACAAACAGACAAAAATGTTTATTTTGTTTACACTATTTTAAAACCAAAGGTCCTCTGAGGTCACTTGATCCCTCCTGATAAGCAGCCCCAGGGAAAGTCAGAGTTCCAGATGGTTAGAGTTGCCAGCTCAGGGCTCTGTTCCTACTACTCCTCACTGGGTCCATGGAAAGGTCACAGGAGACCCATCCAGAGACAGGTGGGCTCCAAGATCTTGGCTAAGGTCTGTAAGTGCTAAGCTGTTATTTGTCCTCTGCTTCAGCATAAAGTCACTTTTTCTTTCACCACCTAAGGTTTGTTCACCAAGTTCCACTAAACCCCAAGCTCTTCCTGTCGCCGAGTGTCCGTCCGCAAGTGCCCAGAAACGCTGGCCCTGCCTGACGTAGTAGGCTGCTCCAAAGAGGCAGCTTCAGTGTTAACAACTGTGCATGCATGCAAGTGGGCGCGCGGGGGGCGGCGTACACAGGGCATTGTGGGTGCATAGTTCAGCTAGAGCGTCGTGGGTTTACGGGTCTCAGGAATAGACTACAATTCCCGAGGTGCTCTGCGCCTAGCCTGCTGGCGGTGATCTGGGCGCGCAGTCCCCTGGGACTAGTAGTTTCGGCCGCGCGCATGTGGTCCCGGAACCCAATGACCAAGAACTCGCCTTCCCGGCCACCCGTTTAGCAGGGCGGGGCGCAGCGACTCGTTTGGCAGGGCGGGGCGCCTCGCGAAGATGGTGTCGCGTGCGGCGTGTGGCACCCGTCGTCTGCCCAATTCTCAGCTTAGCCCACCGGCCGGTGTCTCGCCGGTCTGGAGCCCCCGCCCGCCGGGCCCCTGACCCTGAGCCTTCTGCGCGCCCGCGCTCCTGATTCCCGGCATGCCCCGCGCCCGTAAGGGCAGCGCACCCCGTAAGGGTGGCCAGCGCCGCGGAGCCGGTAAGTGGGGAGCTACTGATGAACGGCGAGCGGGGGTCCTGCGTGGCTTGCCCGTCGGTGTTCCCGATGGCTCCCGAACGGAGACTCCTGCGTCGACCAACCTGGCGCTGCCTCCCGCAACTCTCCCGCGGCCAGCACGTGCCCCAGGAGGCAGCGGCCACGTGTGCGCCCAACTCAATTTGGGCGCTGCTTGCTGCTCAGGAACCCACGCTACCGGGCCTAAACTGGTCGGTGCCTCTCGGCCTCAGTTTCTCCATTGCGGATCCAGCCCAGTTACCTGCTATGATAGACAAGCTCGCCAGACAGCAGGAAGCCTGCCGCCTCGCTAATCCCTGCTCTTTTACTGGACTGGACTAGGACGTTGGTGGGAGGGCTACTCTGACGGAGAGTACTGAGGTAGGGGGCGGACTGGCGGAGGGGTGGGGGGCGGTGGGGATGTTGCAGGATTCTGGCCTTGGTGGACCTGGCCCGAGAGGGTTAGGGAGTGCCCTTGAGCCTGCGGCAGTCCTGAGACTTATCAGCTTTGAACAGAAGTGTGTCTTGCTTCAGTAAACACATATGTTTACTCTGCAGGAATGGGGTGCCTGCTAGGCACAGCTTAGACCACCCTAATGGGACTTGGGTGTGGGGACATCTAAGAGGGTAGCAACATTACAGAAGGACTGGTGTTGGGGGACAAGTTCATTTAAATGGTGTCAGCCCCAGACTTAAGAACCAAGGAATCCTTGAGGGGCTTCTGGGTGAATCCTGAGGAGGTGAAGAAGAGAGCACTGTGCAGAGGAAATAATTTGTGCAAAGGCCTGGCATCTAGAGAGGGAACAAATGAGGGAGGCTAGGCTGCTTTGGCTGGTTAGGGTAGTAAGAGAGGTGGTGAGCGGAGGACTGCATTCGTGCTGCACTTTGTCCAGCAGGTACATGGCGTATGTCGTTCTGAGAAGTAGGACCAGTCTGGTGACCAGAACCCATCTGGGACTCTGCTGCAGGAGCTGCCCTTGCCAAAGTCAGCCCCTGGCCCTGGGCAGAACCCACACACAGGAGCATTCCAGCTCTGCTGACCCTGACATTCTCCTGTGTTTACCTATTTTTAGGGACTCGTGTGGTCAGGGGTCACTCCACTCTCTGCATTTCCCGAGGTCAGGAGGAGCCTGTGTGTCCATCCACCGAGGGCTGAAGGCCTGGGATAGTCCAGGGGGAGCTCAGAAGACAGTATGCTTGAAGCCTGGGGCACCCAGCCATATCCACTAGCAGCTGGGCTTCTGCCCCAAGGCAGATGGGTGGTTGTGGGCCCAAAGAAGAGCCTTAACTAGTTGTTTGTTCAGTCATTGTCTTCATTTGCTATACTAAATGAGGTGTTTTAGCATGTCTGTTTTGCAGATGAAAAAATTAAGGCATTGGGGGTGCCTGGGTGGCTCACCCATTTAGGGTTAAGCCTCTGACTTTTTGTTTGGGTCATGATCTCATGGTTCAGGAGTTCAAGCCCCACTTCGGGCTCTGTGCTGACAGCTTGGAGCTTGGACCCTGCTTCAGATTCTGTGCTTCCCTCTCTCACTGCCCCTACCCTGCTCGCTCTCTCTCTCTCTCTCTCTCTCTCTCTCTCAACAATAAATAAACATTAAAAAAAAAAATTAAGGCGTTGAAGTCTAGGCACTTGACCTGGTTACACTCTTTTCACGATATGGAGCTGGAATTTGAACCCTGTGTCTGTCTGTATATGTTCTGTATATACAGATTCAATAATCGAAGCCCCTGACTTTTGCCCTGGCCATTTTTAGGCATAATCTGGGCTGGTGGCTGAGCTCCCCCAGGATTTGCCTAGATATGTCCCCACTCCAGGTAGGGCCTGTGCAGCCCCTTCTGCCTCTACCAGGACCTCAGTCTCCTTCTTAAAGCAGGCTCTAGTTTCACGGGGGCTGTACTCACGAAGCCTGCCAGGTTTTCCTAGGCTGGGCCTGGGAATGTTCTCCAGTTGATAGACCTCACTCCCTTTCTCCTCTTTCCTGGCTCAGCATCCCCTGCATCACTCCCTGTGTGTACCACTTCAGCCTCCCATTTTCTCATCTCTGAGAGGGGGCAGGACTCTATTCTTGGGGGGTCATGAGGTTGGGTGAGGTAACCCCGGCCATCAGACATCAGTAAGGGCGGGCCAAGTGCTATGTTCCACCCTCCCCAGGTGCCCGGAGCAGAACCCAAGCTGACTCAGGTTCCAGTGAGGATGAGGCAGTCAGTGAGGCCCGCAGCACCACCAGTGAATGCCCCAGCCTTCTTAGCACTGCAGCAGAGGACAGCCTTGGTGAGAGTGAGTGGGAGTTTGGCAGGGACTCTGGGGATTCCCTGGGGTAAAGCAAGACGCGGGGCTGACCAGCTGGCCTTGCAGGGGGGGATGCCGTGGATGAGCAGGGCCAGCAGGAAGACCTTGAGGAGAAGCTGAAGGAGTATGTGGACTGCCTCACAGACAAGAGGTACCTCTGACTGCCAGCCAACCCCTATACCCCTGTCCCTGCTCAGCCCATGCCAAGTATGACCCAGTAGGGCTGGTGCACAAGGTCCCCTCTCTTCATTCCTCAGTGCCAAGACCCGGCAGGGTGCTCTCGAGAGCCTTCGCCTGGCCCTGGCATCCCGCTTACTCCCTGACTTCTTGCTGGAGCGCCGCCTCACACTGGCTGATGCCTTGGAAAAGTGCCTCAAGAAAGGTTGGGCCCCGGGGGCTCACGGGAGACCTGAATTGGCTGGGTACTGACCCTTGCTGCATGGGCTGACTGGAAAGCCTTCCTACAGGGAAGGGGGAGGAACAGGCCCTAGCCGCTGCTGTGCTAGGCCTGCTCTGTGTGCAGCTGGGCCCTGGACCCAAGGGCGAGGAGCTATTTCACAGCCTACAGCCCCTCCTGGTCTCTGTGCTCAGTGATGGCACAGCTTGTCCTGCTGCTCGGCTTCACGTGAGTGTTCTCTGCTCTGTGACACCCTTCCCTCCCCTAATCCCTAAGGGGAGAGGTGGGTTCCACCTGCTTTCAGGCTCCTTTACTCTGAGGGTGAGCCCTGTGGCTGGGAACCCAGGCTCACTCTCTAACCACAGCGTGGCTTTGCCCTCCTTCCAACAGTGTGCTTCTGCTCTTGGTTTGGGGTGCTATGTGGCTGCTGCCGATGTCCAGGTAAGTGACCTTTGGGCATGGCTAATAGAGTACCTAGGCCCTGGCTCTGCCCCTGAGCCACTCCCGCTGCCTCCCTGTGTCCCTAGGACCTGGTCTCTTGCCTCAACTGCTTGGAAGGTGTTTTCAGCCGGTCCTGTGGAATGGGTGGCTCCACAGCCCCTGTGGTCCCTGCCAGCCTGCATGGCCTGCTCTGTGCTGCCCTGCAGGCCTGGGCATTGCTACTCACCGTCTGCCCTAGCACCCATATCAGCCACATCCTGGACAGGTAAGAGCAACTGCCTGCTGTGAGTGGAAGGGGAAAGGTGAGGCCCCCCCAACCCACACGTAGCTCAGCCTGCCCCTTCCTCAGGCAGCTGCCCCGGCTGCCCCAGCTCTTGTCCAGCGAAAGTGTGAACCTGCGAATCGCTGCCGGCGAGACCATCGCACTGCTCTTTGAGCTGGCCCGGGACCTTGAGGTGTGAGAGAGGGTTGAGGGGAAGGGAGGGGGCCTGCTGACTCCACCTGCCCATCCTCGGCTGAATGCAGGGGACACCACAGAAAAAGCAGGACAGCCTTAGGTCCTTATGGAGGGGAGGTAGCCCTAACACAGACTGAGATGCCGGGTGCCATGGTGGTGGCAGGGGTGTCTGGCCCAGGCAGGGACCAGGAGGGAATTCAAAGGGGAGAGGCAGAGAAGAAAACCACTTCTTCCGAGATAGGAGGGGTTTGTGCAACCCCAAGTTGAGAGCCAGCAGAGCGCGGGCTTCTGCTCACATGCCCTCTATTGCTCCCACCACAGGAGGATTTTATTTACGAGGACATGGAGGCCCTCTGCAATGCCCTCCGAACCCTGGCCACCGACAGCAACAAGTACCGTGCCAAGGCTGACCGCCGGCGTCAGCGCTCTACTTTCCGCGCTGTGCTGCACTTTGTTGAGGTGTGTGTGAGAACGTGTGTCCTAGTGAGAGTGCATCCCCAGGCACAGCCACCAAGCCCTGTTCTGCGGGTCCCTCTACTCTGCAGGGCGGTGAGTGTGAGGAAGAGTCGGTCCGCTTCGGGCTTGAGGTGCTCTATGTGGACAGCTGGGCTCGGCGCCGCATCTATGCTGCCTTCAAGGATGTGCTGGGATCGGGCATGCACCACCATCTCCAGGTGGGGAAGTAGACAGGGAGGGGACACCCAGCTTGGCTGTTTTGGACCAGCTTGAGCTCACTGCCCTGTTTGCCCCCAGAACAACGAGCTACTCCGTGATATCTTTGGCCTGGGTCCTGTCCTGGTGCTGGATGCCACTGCCCTGAAGGCCTGCAAGATTTCACGTTTTGAGAAGGTTTGCACCCTTGGGCACGTTTATCTTCCCTCCATTCCCACGGCCTGGAGGCCTGGAGCTCTGCAGGGGCTAGAGGAAAAGCCCTGGGCCTCCCCTTCCCTAGCTCACCATATCATCACTCTCTGCCCCCACTCCAGCACCTATACAACGCCGCTGCTTTCAAAGCCCGGACCAAGGCACGCAGCCGTGTGCGAGACAAGCGGGCAGACATCCTGTGAGGTGGGGCCAGCTGAAGAGGAGACTGTCCACACTCGTGCCTGTGTTTTTAACAGAAGACACTGCAACAACTGGTTGTTCCTACCAGGAATTGTGGCTTTATTTTTTTAATGACAAAACCAAAAACAGACAGGGGTGGTGACTGGAGGCCAGGGCACTTGGTATCCTGGCCCCTTGCCTCAGCACAGCCCTGTGCTTCTCTCTGCCCTGTCTCAGGCCAGGCTAGATGTGTGCTTGTCCCAGGGCTGTGGGGCAGGCAGGAGGAGGGATGTGCCTTTCTCTCCTTTCTCGGGCCCTGCTCCCCTGGGGTGACCTACTTCCTTGAGGGGAATGGCATCTGGACAAATGCCACCAAAACCGGTGGGGAGGCCGGGCTACCTGGAATGGATCTATATGCTGATTTTTAAAGATTATTAGAGGTAATTAAACTGAATGCTCAACCATCTGTGGCCCTTAGCTCCTGGGTGTTTCTGCCTGCCCTGCCATTCACCACCACACTGGGTCTCCCCCATCTCCATCTCACCTTTGACCTCCAAGACCAGCTCCTCAGGTGGCCCTCCTCCCCATACTCAGCTCTGCCTGCTTGAGCACTGAGGCTGGACCCCCGCTGGGAGGCCTGGCAAGGTTTGGGCAGCTGGGGGTGGGGGGCAGCTATTTCTAGACTCTGAACCTATCTGGAAGCCAGAGGCTGCTGACAGGCCACAGAAGGAGCCAGGAGTTTGGTATCCCTTCCTCTGACCTTGGGCCACCCAAAGCAGGACCTTGGCACCAGAAAACTTGGCTAGGCCTGGCTTGAAGACAGGAGAGGCAGGTAGCTGTGGGGTCAGGTTAGACTCTTGTACAAAAACCTCACCGGGGAAGTAGGGTGGGACAATGGGTCAGGAGAAACCTGCCAATGGCGACTTTATTCCCCACCCCCACACACACCCAAGCCCCAAGTCCAAGTGGTATCTCAGCTGGGTGCTTGGGCCTCACTGGAGTTGAGCCTCCGCAGCTGGCTGAGGCTGGCAAGCCGGAGTCTGAGCAGCGTCTCCTCCTGTGTGCGCAGTGTGTGCGCCAGCATGCGGAGGGATTCACTCTGCAGCACTGTGGACGGGCAGGCGGGAACGGGGGGGTATCAGACCACGTGCCACCCCACAACTCCCCACCTCACTGGCTCGGCCTCTGCAGCTGTTTTCAGCCACGCAGAAAAGCCTTGCAGTCCCAGTTACTCGCTCTCAGTTCCCACTGGCTTTCCGCACCGTCCAACCATACCGCTCAGGTAGACAGCCAGGATGGCAAGTGCCAGGCAGGTGAACACCAGCAATGTGAGCAGCAGGAAGCCTCCCCTGCTGTGCACAGGGCTGCAGCCAGCCTGGGCACACAGCGACGGTGGCAAGATACCCAGCAGCTCGTCCCATGGCTGCACCTCCTCAGTCAGGTAGGGGTGCAGCGAACCTGCAGGGCAAATGGGGCATCGGGAGGGTAGGGGTTGTGCCTGCTCTCCTCCCCTCTCCCAGCATGTCAGTCCCCTGCCCTATGCCCCTCACCTCCACTGTGTAGGTCGCTGATGGACTCCACCTGGTGCAGGCGCACCTCCTGTATGTGGTTGGGGGCCAGTGGCGCCCTGCTCCTCGTGCTCGGTGTTAGTGCCAAGGTGTCTGTTGGGACAGTGCAGGGCTGGTTCAGCCAGCAGGTCACGCCTCCCTTTTAAGGTGGCTTCATGCGGCAGCCGCGGCTCAGAAAAGATGGGACAGGACAAAGGGACATTGGCTCCTAGTGCCCTAAAACCAGCTCAGGAACGACACTTGATTCGGAACCAGGATGACCTCAGAACTCTGTGGGCCTGTTAACACCTACAGTAGCAGGAGGTACGTTTGACCTGCTCACTTTTGTTTCCTTACAAGCACCTCAACGGCTTTCAGGCATTCCTCTGCCTGTTCATTTCTAGAGAAGAGTTTGTCAGCTTTGAAGGACTAACCCCACAGTGCGTGAAATTCATTCCTGCCTCTTCTGCTATCACTTTTCCCTGCAGACCCTGTGGGTTGGCCATTGGGCCAGACCCAGTGCCTGGTACCTCCACATCTCCACCCTAGCTGGGTGGTGCTTATGCTTTGTGGCCTTGGCTCTGCTTTAACATATTCAGCCTGATCCTGCTGTACTTCTGTGAACCCTGTTTTCACTCAACATGTGACATGCCTTTGTTATGAAGCTGTTCTACATGCTTCTGAGGTCCCCTTTGAGGCTGCCTGGGCATTTAGGTTGTTTCCAGTTCCCTTTGGAAGTAACTCCCAGGAAGGATATGCATCATTGAGTATGAAGGTTTTTCCCAATTTCCTAATTGTTAAAAAGGACGGATTCCCAGAAGCAAAATTATTGGCTTAAAGAGCAGGGACTTTTTCTTTAAGCCATTAAACTGTCCTCCAGAATGACTATCCACAGCCCCCAAAAGGGTACAACATCGCCACCATTAGGCATTTTCAATGAAAAATTTATATACACACGTGTACGCATGTTTGCCAGTTGGGAGATGAGAAAAGGCTTTTCTTGACCTATTTCGGTCTCTTTGCCTGGAGGGCCTGATGAATGCGTGTGGCTTCCTAGTTATCCATTCACAGCCTCTGCCCATTTAGTCACTGGAATCTCTGTACTTTTCTTGTGATCTTACTATTTTTGTACTCCTCAAAAGTATTTATTTTGTGATTTCTAAAAAAGTATTTTTTTTTTTTTTTACTTCTTTGACTTTTTATTTTATTTATTTATTTTTTAATCTTGGCTCCTTAAACCTCCAGATACCCAGCTGACTGCTAGGTAACAGTATGGGGCATTGATAGGGGCAAAGGTGATTGGACTATCACTTTCACAACAATAACTCAACCTTCATGATTTGCTTGAAACTGGCCCTTGAAATGCTCCAAAATGAAACAAGATGCTGGCAGTCATTATGTTTGGGTGATAGGTCAGGGGTCATGTTAAATTCCTCTGCACTTGGCTCTGCTTTCCCAACACTTTTTTTTTTTTTTAATGTTTATTTATTTTGAGAGAGAGCAAGCTTGCCGGCTTGGGAGTTGGGGAGGGGCAAAGAGAGAGAGAGAGAATCCCAAGCAGCCTCCGCTAGTGCTGTCAGTGCAGAGTCCAGTGTGGGGCTTGAACTCACTAATGGTGAGATTATGACCTGAGCCAAAATCAAGAGTTGGCCACTTAACTGACTGAACCACCCAGGTGCCCCTCCCTACACTTTATAAATTGAACTCAGATTCTGTTCATCACCAGGAAAATCGTGGTAAACATCATTGTTAGGGCCTCAAAAGGAGGCAAACATCCTCCACCACTAGTGGGGGCTGGGGCCCTCCTATCCAGTTGAAATGTTGAAAATGTGACAAGAGGGTTGACCAGCTAGACCTGCTGGAGCAGTGAAGCAGCTGGTCATCCCTGCTGTGGCCCCTGTGAACCTCTGTACTTCTTGCATACAGTGGGGTAGTTAGGTGATTGGCCACCAAAGTCTTAACTAGCTGTCAGTCTGGCCAGGCCAAAGGATTCCAACTGGCTAACAGTTGGGTCCAGTTAGGCCCAAGTTGGAGGTGACCAGAGATCTATCCACTCCTGGTCCCTGGGCTGCATGCCCAAATGCTTCCTAGAACCACTGCCCGCCCCCAATCCCAGCTTCCTCCTTGAATGAAGAGCCGAACTGGCCTGGCAGGCCACCTCCTCAGCCCATACCCACTTGGGCACAGCCTATAGCTGACTACCCCCAAGCGAGTAGCTCCCCCCAATCCCTCCCTTCTGTCCCTAGCAGGGGAAACAGGCAGGGCCTAAGGGGAGGTGGGGTTCCAGACATAGCCCTTTCTCCATGCACAGGGGGCAGGTTCCCTTAATCTATGGCATGGTGATTGATGACTAGTTAAGGAAGTGAGGTCAGTGGGACAGTGGGTTTGCTCTGTGGTTCACAGGGTCACAGGACTGGGGCCTCACCCTCCCCCACAGTCATCTCCTACCTTCTTGGGTGTCCTCAGGCATGGTGGGCGGTGGGCAGCTGGGGGGCTGATAATAGCACTCAGTATGAGGACAGGATGGAAGCAGCAGCGGCTCCTCAGAGCCTGGGGAAGGCAGGCCACCTCCCAGCCTGGGCCTAAAATAGGCCTGAGCTCAGCCCACTGGGCTATATTTAGAGGGGGCAGCTCTCAGCCATGGGAAGTTGTGGAGTGACCCACATGGGCCAGCTAGCTGGTGATGGAGCCCAGACAAGAGCACACCTCCACTAATACAAATGCCCAGGGTCTTTCCTGGGGAACTCTACCACTCCCATACACGCACAGGCCTTGGTGTCTTTATCCAGACAAGCTGCCTCATGCTCACCTCCAGCAATGCCCCACATGGCAGCCAAGGTATGTAAGGGAGCCCTGTGCCTCTACCCACAAAGACCCCGACCCAAAGTTGGGTCATCTCTTCTCCAAGCACACGGACAAGAACCTACCCGTGTGACCTGCTGGCACCAGGGATTGGGGTGATGGACAGCTTGAGTGCATTGCAATGAGGGCTCTGAGAATCCCCAAAGAGGGCAGAGACACACGTATAAAGGTAGGCACTCATGTTGGTCAGTGGGCAAACTTAGGCTGAAGATTGGTATTTCTGTTAATAAGCCTACAACCTTGGTTAACGGATTGCCTGCTCTCTGACCTCCATTTTCTCATTTGTAAAACAGAAAGGACAATTATGGTTCCTCCCTGGCGCAGGACACGTGAAAATGGAATGCAGCTGCATGTCTGCAGTTTACCTCCTCCCTCCTCTCTCCATACAAGTCACACCATGTTGTGTGAGGAGGCATGGTACCACTCACCCCTGAAGGGAGGAAGTGGCCAGGCTGAGGGCCCACCCTTTGCTGTTGGACCCCTGTGACCCTTCTCCCCAACTGGGAGGAAGTAAGACGGTGAGAATCCTCCCCCTAAAACATCCCAAATCCATCACTCCACTGTATCACACTGGCCTCCTTGATGTTCCTCACACACAGCAACCTTGTTTCCACCTCAGGACCTTTGCACTAGCTGTTGCCTCCTAGAACACTCCACCCCTTAGATACTCCCATGACTGGCTCCTTGTTGTTTAGCTCAAATGTCACCCCCTCAGTGATGCTTTCTCACATTGTTTTCCGTATCTCCAAATTTCATTTTCTTCATAGCACTCATCCAAGAAATCATATTCAGAACATACTGTGCAGGTCAGTAGGGCTCCAAAGGCCCCACAGAATCTACTCAGTCACATGGAAACTGCCTTTAATCCTCATCACAGCATCCTTTTCAGAAACTGAGGCCCTAAGACTGCTAGGAAGTTGCCCAAGGCCGCACAGCAAGACCTAGTACCAGCGGTTGTCAGCTGGGGCCATTCCAGCTTCGGCTCATAATGTGTTTATTGCATTAGTACAGTCGGCCTGTCCCACTCCCGCCCCACCAGTACAGCCTGTTCACAGCTTTCTGCTCATTCTCCAAGGAGGAGGTCTTTATCCCGGGGTGGGCACTCTGGGCACCTCCTCTGCCCAGGTCGTTGCTCTGGAGCCTTGCTTATCTCCCTCCTCCCGACCAGCCGGCCCCTGTGCCCCGCCTGGGCTGTCCCTCCCAGGGCTACATTCAAGGGTTATCCTCTGTTAATAAATAAGCCGGGGAGGCTGCCCCTCAGCCAGGGCCTGTAGGTCGGTGTCTCCATCAACCAGGGACCAATGTGTCAGGCCCCCTAGCTGTGCGTCCTCCACGGTCTGTCCTCCCCCTGTCCTGCCTGTAGCCTCCTTCCCTGTACCCGGCGTGGACTGCCGAATCACCAGTGCGCTGCGCTGCGCGGCCCCCGCTCAGCACGCGGCTCTGGGGCGTGCCTTCGCCGGTTTCGGCCCTTCCTCCGTGACTCGGGAGGCGGTGGGCGCGACTCAGGCTGCAGACGACACATTCGCAGGGAACTCGCGCCACCGCCGCCCGGCTCCACCAGCTGCAGGAAGTCCCGGTACCAGAGCCTGGGGCCTGGAGGGGCTACGGGCACAGCCTCCTCGGTCCGGGCCAGCCTTTCGGCCTGCGCAGCACTCAGCACGTGTAGCACCAGGCGACGCAGCGACTGCGAAAAGCCCTGCTCCACAGCTGCGCACTGGTACACGCCAGAATCCCCGCGCCTCAGTCCGCGCAGCAGCAGTCCCCCCGTAAGGCGCTCCGCGCGCTCCTCCATAGCTACCTGCAGGCGGGGCCAGTGGGAGGCAAAGGCATCGGTGTCAGGAACAAGGAAACCCGGCTCCCAGGTCGGGCCAGGAGAGGTAGAGGGTCAACGGTGGCCAAGCATGAGCAGGTAAGGGACTCTCGCAGGTGTACCTTTGAAGGTTGGGTGCACTGGGACCAGTGGTCTAAAAGCGGAAACATTTACGGGACCGGACGAAACCGGACGGTACTGGACTGGAGGTGGTGTGTGTGTGGGGGGGGGGGGGGTTCCCCGACCATGGGGGCGGGGCGGGGGCCTCAGTGGGCGGGGCGAGGGCGGGGCTCCTCTCGGATGGGGGAGGGGGTATCAGGAGTCTAGTTAGATGGAATCGGGCCTCATCAGAATGTGGAGTTCAGGTAAGGGACCAAACTGGACGTAAGGGGTCTAGCTGCACGGAGTCTCACTGGGCGGGGTCGGACCTAGTCTAGAAGTGGGAACCACACTGGCTAGGGCGGGGCTCTCCTGGATGTAGGGGGCGGGACAAGGGCTTGTTTGGGAAGGGAGGGCGTGAGGCTCACCTGGGTGTGGGTCGCCTCCCCTGCGCGCTGGAAGGTCCATTCCACGCGCGCCTGCAGCGAGCGGGGCTCACACTCCAGGAAGGCGCTTCCACCCTCCACACCGAACACCTTCCGCTCCAGCAGTGCGGGATGAGAGGAGTCTGGGGAGGGCAAAGGAATGTCAGATTCAGGTAGGGCAGGGTGGGGCGTCTTCAAAGGCCCAGAAGTGGGGCAGCTGGGGCACTCACCGCCGGAGCACAGCGTGCTGGGGTCGCCATTCCTCACGTCTTGCCGCCGGAACCGCCTGCAGGGTGGGGGTTGCATTGGTACATTAGAGCCTCCTTGAGTCCTTCATTTAGCCAGGTGCTGCAAATGATTCCAGGTGGCCCGCCCCCAACCCTGCCCACCTTTTAGCGCTGGGCTGAAAGCGCGTGCACGCGGCCCCGTCCCAGGCGCAGTAAGGGTCTCGCGCAAGGCAGCATTCCGCACAGGCGCGGCCGTGGGCAGCACAGAGGTGCAACGGGATCTGGGCGACCGCGCTCCGCGAAGCTATGTACAGCTGGTGCTAGGGGGCACGAGGGGCTCCGGGCTGACCGAAGGCAGCCCTGTGCCCGCCTCCCATTGGTCAGGGATCCCTCACCCCACTTGACACTGATCAGGGTCTCAGGTCACGCAGTCTAGCAAAGGCAGAACCTATACTCAAACCCAGTGCTTCAAACTACCAAGGGAAGCGTGGGGGTAGGGGTGCCCGGGGAACACACTGGGTCCCTTCTGCTCCCAAGCCTTTTGGTCACTTACCCTCTTGGAAGAGATTTGCATGCTGGTGATAGCAGATGAATCCTAAGAGGAGGAAGAGCGATCGCTGGGATCAGAGATCAATGGGGTAGGGTTCCTCTAGGAGGAGGGGGCTAGGCCTCACCTCAAAAACGTGCAGCTCCTCCAAGAGCAGCCCCTCCCCGTTAGGCTGGCTGCCCTTGGGGACGGAGATCACCTTCAGCACTGTGCCAGCGTCTGCAGGGATGAGGAATGAGTGATTCCTTGTGTTTCCTGGCAGCTAGGGCTGGGGATCTCCTCACTTCTGAGGCCTTTACCCTTAGCATGGTTGGATAGGTGAAGAATGTGGGTTGGAACAATCAGACCAGCATCCAGAAGGAGATGAGAGCACAACCCAGGCAAAGATGTGAAGATGGGACTGGGCAGGGGCAGCTTCTGCTGACAGGTGGAAGAGAGTCTGGACAGAGTTTTATGGGTAGTCATGGCAGGACACTGACCTGTGCCAATGAAGAGGACGTCGTAGTGTCCGTCAGCAGCTGCTACACGGTCTGCAGTGATCTGGGTGAAGGTGTACCCGGCATCCACTTGTATGAAGAGAGGGCGACCACCCATGGGCAGGACCGAATTGTACATGAGGGGGTGGTTCCGGGCAAATTGAATGACGTCATCAGGAAAGTCCTTGGTAGAACTGAAGGTGCCAAAGGTCTTGCTGGGACACTGGGCAGGTGGGGAGGAGGCACGACAGGGATGTGGGTACGAGGGCCTGGTGGGTCCACAAGAGACCTCCAGGTACCCGAGTATAGGGGAGTGCTAATGGACAGAGGTCTGCCCTGAGAATCTGAAGAGAGAAGACCCAGCCTTGCCCTTGGGACTCTTAGGGGGAAATATGCCCTTCCTCTGAGGAGCCCTGTCTGAGGAAGGTGATGTTTTCCCACCCATAACGGAAGGAAAAAAACACATTCACCAAGAAGATCCCAGGCCAAGTTTTCCACCCCTGAGACTTTAAGTGGGTTGTGGTGGGACTCCTGGGGCTACGCACCATGCCAGGCCGGGGGTAGGGGACACGGCCCTGGTAGGACACCCACTGGTGCATGGGCCCTTCCTTGTGTGCAAAGGGCCCCAGGAAGGCCCGGCGCACGTCGTTCATGCTGTACACACACACTGCAGAGCCCTGGAAGATGGTGCTGCAGGCGAAGACATGAGCAGACTGAGGGGCCCAGCAGAGCCCGTTGGGCCTTGCCCTCTACCTCCTTGCCCCTCACCTCGATGTGGAGAAGACAGCGTAGAGCAGTGGGCTCCAGCGGTCCCTCAAGGACAGCAGGAACATGTCCTCTGTGGGGAAGAAGCCTAGTTGGGGGAGGGCACACAGCCCTCTGGGCAGCCCGGCTCCTGGGTCTGGCCCCCTGCACTCCCTCTCTCCAACCCCATCCTCTGCTCCTGGCACTCACGGAGGTGGTCGAAGTGTGTGTCACCCTCGACACCTGGCACTGAGCACACCAGACGCGCCTTCAGGAACGTGGTCCACTTGTTGACAAGGCTTCGCTGGCCTCCCACGTCATTCTGCAGGGTCAATCAGCAGGGATGAGGGGGAGGCCCAGACAGGCAAAAGGGCAGGGATGTAGTCATCGGATGTGGCCCAAGGACTCCTCACCCGACAGATCTGGCCAACCCGGGACACAGTCTGGCGTCCCAGTGATGGCGAAGCCTCCACTGCTGACTCACGGAAGAAGAAG